ATTCTTTATTATTACTTCTGTTATTAAATATTTATCTATACTTATCAATTGTCTAAAAAATTTATAATGACAAATTTCCAGGCAAACTTTCATCCCCTATTTTTCGCGATAAAATGTAGCCTATGTCCTTTCTTAAAGTTAAGTCTATTTACTATATTAATTTCCATTAAGATGGCTTCAGTTGTTAAGGCGTCTAAGCGTAACAACACTCATTTATCTTACCTTAAGTTATCGATACTCTAATACGATTCTAAAATCTAGCTAAGTATCGATACTAGAACCATACGCTGATCAAATTAGAACTATACCGAGTTTGCCAAAGCTATATGCAGTGATATTTACCAACTATATTAAATCATCATATAAAATATAGCATTTTATAATCTACAATAAATATGATTAAAGTTTATTGGAAATTAACAATATCGCCGAAATAAATATCGATTATACACAAATCGATTATTTTTCCCAAGCCTATTTTTTATGAATTTTCCGGATCGCGGACACAGCAGTGCACAAGCGTAAACACGTTTTTCATTGCCGCCATCACGGACCTGAAAAAACCGGTCCGGAATAGAGAAAAGTAAAATCCCGGACGGTAAAATTCCTGACAGTGCACAGGCTAGCATTACCTACATATGGGCGCTTGTGCACTACACTGAATTTTCAGGTCCGGCGGTCCGATTTTTTCCGGTCCGGAATGACATGAAAAACTCGGATGAGTAGCTTGTGCACTTGTCCGTTTTTTTCCTGATCGGAGCGGCGCAGTGTAGTGCAGCTCTCTTTGAAGCTACACGTCACTTACGCTAGGAACGATGAGATTTTTGGAACGTCGGTAATTCCGTTCGAAGACGTAGAAAGGTACCTAAATAATGATTTGATCGTTTTACATAAACCATAATAAATTATGGCAAGACGAATGCATTTTTTTTACTGCTATCGGATGACTACTATCAGATGTAAAAACTTATACCGTTACTTATTTAGGAACAGCATTATTCACATACAATAGCTAAAAATATCTGTGACATTAGAATAAAATTACTGATAATGGTCTAGTACTTGATGTTTAAATTTTTAAACGTGCAATTTTTTTTTGAAGTTTTGTATAAACAACTTTCAGCGATTACAGAGATAGATCAATCGGTGGCGCCATTTCGTAAACAAATCGAAATTAGTGACGTGTTAGCGGAGAATTATTATGCTAAATGAACTTTACGAGATCAGTTGACTGTATTATATATAGGCATAATTTTTATACGCGTGGTGTAGTTTCTTTGAGCAGAAATATTTTTCCCTTAGAATACTTCTTTTTTAAAATTTATTAATGACACAAACAATTTTATTAAATGCGAAAAAGACATTGAGTGTCACTTAATTACTTTTGTAAATCTTCTGTTTATTCTTTATTATAACTTCTGTTGTCGAATATTTATCTATACTTATCAATTGTCTAAAAAAAAATTGATAATAACAGATTTCCAGGCAAACTTTCATCCCCTATTTTTCGCGATAAAATGTAGCCTATGTCCTTTCTTAAAGTTAAGTCTATTTACTATATTAATTTCCATTTAGATGGGTTCAGTTGTTTAGGCATCTAAGCGTAACAACACTTATTTATCTTACCTTAAGCTATCGATACTTTTAATACGATTCTAAAATCTAGCTAAGTATCGATACTAGAACCATACGCTGATCAAATTAGAACTTTACCGAGTTGTGATATACCAACTATATTGAATCATCATATAAAATACAGCATTTTATAATCAACAATAAATATCGATTATAAGTTTATTGGAAATTAACTATATTGCCGAAATAAATATCGATTCAAATCGATCATTTTTTCCCAAGCCTATTCCTTATGAATTTTCCGGATCTCGGACACAGCAGTGCACAAGCGTAAACACGTTTTTCATTGCTGCCATCACGGAACTGAAAAAACCGGTCCGGAATAGAGAAAAGTAAAATTCCGGACGGTAAAATTCCTGACAGTGCACAAGCGCGCATTACCTACATATGGCCTGACATATCGGACCTGAAAAAATCGGACCGCCGGACATGAAAATTCAGTGTAGTGCACAAGCGCCCTTACCTTTATATGGCCTGACATATCGGACCTGAAAAAATCGGACCGCCGGACATGAAAATTCAGTGTAGTGCACAAGCGCCCATAGGGTGATTCAAAGTGAAGGTTTTTATGTATAGTACAAGACCACGCTGGTGAAGCCGCTGGCGGAAAGCTAATTAAAATATAAATAGATACCACATTTGCCATATTTACACGTAGTTTAAGAGTATTTATTTTACTAAAGTGTAAATAGTTGCCACATTTGTCATTCATATACAGTTTGAGAGTATATTCTTACACCACCTACGAGAAACCAAACTTTGTGTTATCTTAGCAAAGTTCATTGCTGGATTTATTTCTTCTTAATATTTTCGATTTCTTATTCTTTATAAGTTTTGGTTGGCCCATCACATTTTAGTGTTGTTATAGAATTAGGTACCGCCTTAAAAATCAAATATTTTTAACAAATAAACAAGAATTAGGATGAAGCAATTACTGTTAATAGTAAGAATGCTATTATTATGAGCTATTAAAAATTCTTACTTCATTAAATTGGTTAAAAATAGTTGCATAAACATTTCCATTTTCTCAAGTAATTAATACGTCTAGTAGTACGTAGATAAAGTTATCTATAGTTGAGCTATAGTTACGAGTTTAAGTGATCCTTAGAGAATCAACTATTCCAGACAAAATTCAAGCGTTGGCTTTAGTCATATCGGGTATAAAATAAACAATTTGTAAAGTGTTCGTAAATTTATATTATAATATTTTATTTCTTCTTTTCGTTAGTGTATATATTATTTGCCCCTTTATAAATAATAAAGCTTTTCGAACGATACAATTAACTTGACACTGATATATAATAGGCATAATAACACAAGGGCTTCGATCAAATCGGAATCGGAGTATTTTTTAGCTCCGGAGTTAGGTTTCGATGCTCCGAATTAAGTTTCGGGGTCTCGGTCTTAAATAGATTTTCAAATAAATGTAAAGTAGAGCGTATGCACTAAATTCGAATTTTCCGTTCTGTTACTTACATAATCTTTGACAGATCTCTTTCATAATTTGTAACCGGAGTATTTACTCTTTCGTTTTTTGATATAATATTTATTTTTCTGATTACAAATCAAACAAAAATGTATACTTATACGAACGAATTGTCACTCCTTGATCTTTAGTCGACTTATGTAGTTTCTACAGTTTCGCATAATACAGGATGGCATTTTAAAAATTAACATGGTACATAAACGCACACAATCAAGGTGTGCTAATTAGCATAAAGTGACACTTTTTATATAAGTAACCTATCTACTCTTTTTTTATTGTAATATCATTGGGTAATGCAGACAAATGAATCTTGAACGTCATCTCATATCTCTTGCATAAGTGCCAGATCAGCAGGCCTATTCGCTAACTTAACTGGCAACCTTAAGTCGTAATCACTGAAAAAAGTGAACAACGCCAATGTGTCAAATCCCTCTATCGTATTTTTGTTATTTTATATCAAAATGTTTCGCAATTTAGAAATCTCCACTGAACCTGATCTTGTATCAATAAACTGTTATTTCGTATTCCGTAAGCATCAGTGACCATCAAAGTGAACTTTAATGAGTAATTTTATCTAAACTACTTATAGGTAAAATAGCAACTGACTAGGGATTAGTGATTTATTAAAAATGAGTTATAGAATACCAAAACCGCGCAATGACCGGTTGCCCACTGTGCTCCGAAAGATTAATTTATTTCGGTTGTCCTCAGAAATTCTCTGAGTTACAGAATAAGGGGACTGATCTTCATCATCAATAACGTTGTTTTAAAAATCTCTTGCAATTGCTTCCAAAACTTCCAAAAAACTATCCTCGTCTTCTTCTTCATGTTCGGTATCACTATACCTACCACAAATCATCCACAAGACACTTCTCCAGCCATCAGAGACGTGAATAACATTCAGGCTGAGTATCAACTCAACGTATATAACAGGCAACTCATAATTTAAGAAGAACATTATGATGCCAGTAATGCGCAGTATTGCAGAACTACAATATGTTTGTCACGAAATTCAGGAAGCCTCAGTTCTCACAATAACATTCACGAGAAGTAGCAAGACAAAAATCATAGGCAAATCAAATACAAAAGTTGTGTAGTACAAAGCCACACGCGGTGTTCCCAGGCGGCCACCCATCCAAGTACTGACCGCGCCCGATGTTGCTTAACTTCGGTGATCGGAATAGAACAGGTATATTCAATGTGGTGTAGACATTGGCAGACTATTTACCAAATATATATAATAGTAGCTCTACTAATGTATATAGATAATACATATATTCTGTACATCACAGCATAGTATGACCACAGTACTCATAAACTATGACAAAGTACCTTCTTTCTGTTTTTACACAGAAGCAGAGAGGTCTATTTAACTACACAACAGACTTTAATACTTCTTTTATCAATATACAGCGTGATTCAAGAGGAAAGTTTAATGTACAATAAGGGAATGCGTTAGCGGAAAGCTAGTTTTTAAGTAACACATATACCCACCTAAATGGAAAAGTGAATTTGTATCCTTCTTTCAAGTCACAATGGCGCATTTCGTAATGGTATATTTTTTGTGTAGCTATGATAGAAGGCCAACTGGAGAATGACAAAGGTTACTTTTTAACGTTAAAATAAATATTCCCTTTTGACCATGCGAACGAAGATGAGAGTAACAGACAATAATTGAATATTTATTTATAGAAAGTTGTCCAAGCACGGAACAGATAAATTACGAGTTCAATTGACGTCTTATTATTGTAATCTCTGCGACTTATCATGCGTACAACTACATTGAAAACTTCAATTCGTCGGCACACTATACAGCGTGTTTGAACACTCGCACTCCGATACGATGCACACTAACTACATACAGCAACTTGCAAAAGATGCAGTCTCGATCTAGTAAGCACGTTAGACGGACGCGTTCTGCCAAGGCGAACGTAACAACAGCTGTTGCTTATTATTTACAAACATTTGACATAAACATAACTTATAATATTAAAGTTTCAAATATTGATCCAAGTTGTGTGATAATTCGTTAGTCTGTCGAGAGTTTTTGCCGTGTAATTGTGTTAATAAGCTACGATGCCGGCTCAAATGGAAACTAGAATCGTGCCACGACAAGTTACGCCAGAAAGTAAGTATACCATCAAATATCTATGATATTTCTCTTAATATGTGGGTAGGGATAGGTATTTTGTTTTGTATATAACCATTAACACGATGTTAATAAATAATAAAGCTCCTAAAAGTCTTACAAATAAATGAAAAAATACAAGCACACTAAGAAACTTTTTATTGTATTAATAATACCCGAAATTTTAAAAATAAAACTGATATTAGAAGATCTTCAATTTTATTAGGTAATACTATTAGGTAAGTACATAACATTATTTTTATAATAATTTTCATCATTCTTCTATAGATGAAAACATATGATACAATTCTTAAAATATCTATAAAGGGTTTAGCCGGATACGTATGACGAGTCTGCCCCCAAATGGGAATCGATATTGAAACTTATGTTTTAATATCGACTTGATGTTCAAACATGATTTATATACTTTTCGCGACCGACTTCCGCTTTGACCTTGAGATAGAGAGCAAAATATCCGTATGCTTGACTATTACTGAATGTGATATATCTCTGAAGCTAATTAAGATAAAGAAGTGAAACTAACGCGAGGTGTTAGGTTACATTACAGAGTATATCACATATATTTTTTTATAATTTTTAGAATAAAAAATTACATTAAAAAATAAAAATAAAAAATATCATGTTTTTTTTCTGAGTTCTCTGTGACTTACAATCACGAAATTAATATATGTTATGCTCCTTTGTGTGCTCTATCACCCATAAAATTGCGTGAAAAAAAGTTGGTGCAACACAACGAAAAAAAATTATATGTGATTCGCGCCTTGTAGTGTGAGTGTATAAACAAACAAGTTCGAACTTGTTATCGAGCTGTTTACTGCATCGTTTGTTTAGCTAAAGTAGCAGTCATTTGTATTACACACGAAGGCAGTTTGGGACTCAAATTCTGTCATAGGTATTTTGTATCAGCATTTTGAAATTATTAACTATCGAACCAAATCATTATTAAGTAATAATGTGCGAAAAGTGTAAAAATTGTAACAAGTACCTGTGTAAGATTCCAGAGACCAGGATAACCAAGATAACCAGGAGGTTATAAAAAAATTATAAAGAATGAAGAAGAAGCTAAAGTGTTTAGTGACTGTTTGAATAAAATCGTAATAGTTAATGATATTTTTTGTAAGAAGTGTCGACTTATCCCATATATTAACAAAAAAGCTTCTACTTCTAATGTGCAGCATTTAACTTGGCCGAAATAATGGACAATCAAAATAATCTCTCAGTACAATATGTGAAATCAGCACCTAATATCATCAAAGCAGAAGTAAAATCAAGACATATAAATAGAAAAGTCTATCGAATTTACATTCACTATTTTCCGAAGGTAATGACTACATAGTATTCTTCGTTATTGCTGTGATTGCCCCAATGGCAAACGTACAGTGGGATGCTGTTCTCATGTAGCAGCTATTATTTATTATCTATCATATGGATGATATTTGTCCAAAATCGTACGTCCTACTGAGGTCCTAACTAAGTTATTTGCGACTCAAAGTGTTCCGATTGTAATTAATTACAACAGTGACGATGATTAATATTTTGTTTCTTGTATTTTGATAGACACGAAAAAGTAATAATAATAAGTATTGAACACTGGCTGTTTTTTTTTTTCATTTCTTTTTTAACTATTATCCCATCTCTTAAGACTAGTTACTTATGTTTTAAAACAAGCTGATGTGAAATTTCGAAAAAAAAAACATGATGTAATGTGAAAACCTTATAATACAGGGGTATACCATAAGACAGAAATCACATATAATTTTTTTTCGTGTTGTTGCACCAACTTTTTTTTCACGCAATTTTTATGGATAATAGAGCACACAAAGGAGCATAACATATATTAATTTCGTGATTGTAAATCACAGAGAACTCAGAAAAAACAACATGATTTTTTTATTTTTTATTTTTTAATGTATTTTTTTATTCTAAAATTATAAAAAAATATATGTGATATACTTTGTAATGTAACCTAATACCTCGCGTTAGTTTCACTTCTGTATCTTAATTAGCTTTAGAGATATATCACAATTAGTAATAGTCAAGCATACGGATATTTTGCTCTCTATCTCAAGGTCAAAGCGGAAGTCGGTCGCGAAAAGTACATAAATCGTGTTTGAACATCAAGTCGATATTAAAACATAAGTTTCAATATCGATTCCCATTTGGGGGCCGACTCGTCATACGTATCCGGCTAAACCCTTTAGGGCAACAAAGAAAATGTAGATCAAATAACATAACACAAGTGCACAATTAAATTTAGTTCGCACCTCATTGTAAATACAAGAACGCATCAGCTGTTAACAATGTAAACAAAAGATTACGGACAATGTATCGGTGCCAGAAATTGTAAATGTTATATAATATTACATTTACAAATTAAAAAAACATTTGGTTATCTAAAAGGTTATGGTTACTGTATGTTATTGAATTTGAACCTACCTATATTGAATTTTAATGAATATTTCTTTGTAAATTTAAGTGTTTATATATTTTTTTGGTGTTCGAAATATAATTTGTTATTTTGAATTAATTGGTTATTATAAAATTTAATATTTTGATAATGAAGGTACCTTTGCTTACCCTAAAGTATGAAAATTTAAATTACTACTTCCCCTAACGCAAATATTGCTTGACGGCTTTTTTATATAAATTTTAATGTCTTTGTATAAAAAATAAACCAAAATTAGTATCTAAATATTATTTTGTCCTCTTTATATATTTTAGGATTTTTTGTTTGTAAATGTTTTTATACGTGTATTACCTAAAAAATAAATATATACCTTATATTTAATAAAGTCGTTATACAGACAACGTTGCAAACAGAAACTAGTTTTATATTTAAATACTTATAGAAAATCATTAGATATTTAACATAAGAATAGACATGTTGCTTTCCTTAAAATAATTAAAAGTAGGTAGGTACGCCTAATATAATTAACGTATCAGTTTTTAAATGTTTATTACAAAACAATATGGATAAGTATTTACATTGTTTAATAATAAATTAATGAAACCTTAATAAAACAATAGAACTATCTGGAAAATACAATTGACCTTATCTATTATTAAATTATAATCACTACAATCAAGAAGCAATAAGTAAAAAAAGATATCCTTTGATTGTTGTCTTTCAAAGGATATCTTTTTTTACTTATTGCCCCACGACTTCACGAGTTTAAGCGATAATGCTCGAATGATAATTTGTATTTTTTTTTAATTAAATCATTTAAATAAAGCATTACTTATACCTATAATATCTAAAAATAAATATTTATAGACATTATGACTATGACAGATAACATGTTGTGTTATAACAACTATAAGTAACTCGTTTATCTTGTAAACCGAATCCGTGTTATAATTCGTTGTTGTTGTTTAAGCTATTTTTAATTTTAGATTCGTAAAGTGAAATGTCTTCAAAATAGTATAAATCGCACGTTGAGAATGACAATGTCACTAACCAAAAACGACGTATTTTTTACTTTTGGCGACATTTTTCTTTGTTAAGTATAAACTTTAAAATGCAAAGATCCCCGTGAACGTAGCCTGCATAGAAACTGCTAGGTGGCGTAGTGACGATACGTTGTTTAGAGGGGCTGTTACAATTTCTTGAACTTTAAACGCTCATTACTCATTTGCGTATTTTTTGCATTGTGTCACTATCGTTCTCAACGTGCGAAATGTAGCCAAAATAAAAATGAACGTCGTAACCACAAAGAAATTGGTGAACATACCTACTTGCATAAAAAGTAAACATACCCGTTGAAAATAAAAATTCCTCCATATGGATTTTTAATAATGGAAAGTACGCTTTGTTTTTTCGCTGATATAAACATGTCATCAAAATATTTAGGTGATATCCGATGATAAGCATGTTTTGTTTTGTTATAAAAAGAAAACTACTGATTCGATTACGATATAATTTATATTGGACCGCGTCAACCCATTATCCAACAAACCCACCTATCGAACAAAAAGACATTGAAAAGCGATTCATAATTGACGGAGTAATTTTAAAACACAAAAAATCATACAGTCGAATTATGAACCTCCTCCTTTTGATGTCGTTTAAAAACATGCCACTAACTTTTATATTTTTATATTTAAAAACCATTTTTACTTTATTTGATTATATTTCTGATTATGACCAACAGCAAGTTGTGTAAATTACCCTGTTCATATAGTGAAAGCGTAATGACAACTCCATTTGAAAATAAATAGTGAAATATTATTATGCCTAGTACATATTAACTTTCTACAGAAAGTTGTAGATTATCACAGGCCCCGCTCTGATCGCTTAAGTTTAAGAGGGCTGCAACAGAAATATATCAACTGTGAAAATTCAACTGTTGCTATCATGGCTTATGAGAGACAGTGGTGAAACAGCGGAATTCTAATATTAATGGGTAAAGATTTTACCCTTTGGGTATGGAACCCTTAATATTTGGTAAAGCCACTTTTTGACAAAGTATTAAGTTATATTTTAATTAAAAATTGCTTGAAAAATCCACCAGCATCTGGTACCCCGAGATGGGGATTACATTAAAAAAAAAAAATCATTTTTTTTAGTTTATTTCTCAGGTTTTTAGTTTATTTATTTACGACACATTACATTGATGAATTGATTACAATCAATTTCATTACAAATAGTATTAACAAGTTATCCGATCCCAACATAACCCAACAACATGTCTTTTATAATAAACTAGCTGTGCCCGCGACTTCGTCTGCGTGGGAAGTATTTTGGTAGAATTCTTTTTTTGCTATGAATACAGACGAATCGAATAAGATCAATGGACCATAAACCTATACGCAGGCTTAATGCGGATCGGTGGGTGTTAACGTTGCTGATGCAGCCAGAACTAACAGCTTAGCGTGCATTATGCTATGTTGTGCACAGTGCTCAAGATAATAATGTTTTGGGTCACCCATCCTGTAAACGGTCCTTACGAATGTTATTTTTCTATTTGTTCGCGTTTCTC